GAAGAACAAGCAGAAGAAGAAGAAGAAGAAGGAGAAGAAGCAGCCGAGGACGAAGAGAAAGAGGAAGAGGCAGTTATTTTCAGGTCTAGGTAGGAAGAAGAAGAAGAAGAAGAGGACGAAGACGAAGGAAAGGAGGGAAGAGAAAGAAGGAGAGTTATTTTTCAGGGATAGGTTATAGGTAGGACGACGGGAAGAGGAAGGAGAGGGAGGAGGAAACAGAGAGAGAGGATAGGAGCACAGGTTTTCAGGTAGGGGTAAACCGGAGCCAAACGGGAGAGGGGAATAAAACGGGCGAAGAACGGCATTCTGGTAGAGCTAGGAGCGACTGCGAGGGAGATACCTGGGAGACTGTTTGGATCCACGCAAGGCAAGGACGAACGTGAGGGAGGAAGACGGAGCCGGCGACGCGTAGATATTAGATGGGAACAATAAAAGGTCCGCTGCATATACGAATGCAGGGGAATCATTTGTACATTAGTAACACGCATTAAAAGCTATATAACCGTATCATTAACCGAATCTCACTGTGTTCTGTTTAACTGGTGCTACCTGTTATCTGCTACGTGTCATCGCCGTCCTGCCTGATACACCGACAGGAGCGGACCCTGAATCCCACTACTGGACACGCGTTACGAACTAACAGCTGTCGAACCGTAGTCGGCTCTACCCTAGGGGCACTACAATAGTATAGTATGTACAATGTTATGTTGCACCACAATGGAAATAAGTGTGTTAGCCACGCTTTTTGTGTTTTCATCCTCGATAATTTTCTAGCTGCATTTTGTTTATTTATGCTGTTATCGATGTAATGTATGCTTTGTTAATTATCAGAATAAATCAATCAAAAAATAGCCATTAATTAAGTTACCATTGAATCAATGCACTGCATTAGATACAGTGCATACAGCAGTTTCAACTAGTAGATAATAGAATAAACAATGCACGCTGCATTCTAGTATAGCAGCTCGACTGTTTTGGCTTTGTGCCAATGGCTAGAAATCGGTGGTGGCAGTATATTTTTTAACCGTTGCTTGCATATAGCGGGACGAGTCAATCATAGATGACTAGTTACAACACGAGTGTGTGCCATTTTCGCGGTAGTTTGCCGGTGTGATGTTTTGAACATAAACATTGTTCAAAACCACCCATTGTCAACTCAAAAGTTTTTTTAATCAGTCAATCCGCCCAGAATGGCGGGAGGCCTGGCAGGCCAGAGGTTGCGTTGCGCACTCGTTTCGTGAAGACATCAGAATCCCTGAACGAACACGTCAAGCCGTTGCCACCACTACGAGTGAGCAATTGGTGCTTTGCCCAGAACCAGAGGTAATTATTCCAGGCGCTGGGATAGGGCAGGGACAATTGTTGAGGTACTGAAAAATGACCACTACTTAGTGAAAATCGATGGTACTGGACGCCTGACTGCACGCAGCAGGAAGTTTTTTCGGGGGTTCGTTCCTGCAAGTTCCCCTAATCGACGACAGAGGACAGTCACAGCAAGCAGCCCTTGAGGCGCATGGGCCGCCATTACTTCATGAAGGCGAGACCCGTGAGCCAAGCCCAACTTCCGGACCTTGCTACCAGCCAGTCACAATATATCCTCCCACGCCAACGGCTTCTGAGATGCCAGAGGCCACTAGCCCGTTGACGTACGAGCCCACCCAGCCTAGACCACCGGATGCGATCCCGTCCGATGACAGGACCGTACCGCCTGCACCGGTGCCATTACTGCGCCCACGTAGAACGATCCACCCACCTGCTCAGTACGAACAAGAATCCAGGACTTGGAAACTAGTTAACAGTTCGTGACTCGACTTTTCAAACTGAGGGGGGATGTAGAGTTTCCGAGTCGTACGTAACTGTTAAGGACGTAACGCATTGAGGACGATTCGATTCTATTATTACACACAGAAGGCGCAGCCAAGGTCCCGTCGAGTTCTGTCATACTGCGCCATTTGCACGTTATTCATCGCTCGGACTTTTGTGCATATTTACGGTTAGTAGATAACTGACTTTACTATTAAGATATTTCGTTAGTTTTATCTTTATTCCTATGCACTTGTATTATCACGATCTTGCTTATTCTACGTGTTATTTGTCAATTGTGCAACCGTAAATCTGTAGCCTCATTCGCATGTTTAGGCCATAGCGCGATCGTTTCTTTCATTATTTGTTGTAGCATGCCGCTTGCATTCCTTACTTCAATAAAAAACAAAACGGGAACGAGTCTTTCTTCAAAAATCTTCAATTTTTCTATAGGGTCCAGCTCGTCCATTCAACATGGCAGCAGCTTGTGTTGCTTGCAAAGAAATAAATCACGTGAAGAGAATCAAATGCAAGAGTTGTGGCGCTTTACTACGAGACAAAAAGGACAAGAGGCTGTTCTGTTATCCAAAAAAATAGATAGCGGGAAACTGTTCCCCCAACCTGTATAAAAAAGATTAAAGAAAGGGTACATTGCAAGTCATGTTTTTTAAATTATTTTAATTTTATAACTCTTCGAAATTGAATCAGAATGATAAAATTCCACAAATAATATTTGATTTGAAAAATTTTATCATTATCATTTTTTACCATAACATCATGCAGGTTTCATATGTTTATCTCTGTGCTTTCTTTGGTAGATATATCAAGCAAAGGCACACAATATTGTGACTGTGTGTCTCATGTTTCATAAAGGAAAGGTTACAGTGCAGGCATCTCCAGGCACTGCAGACATGTTTGCCTCCAGTATTATAGGGCAATATGTGGTCACTGCATATAAAAAATTAGCAGTGAAGCATGCAGGTATTAGTTTCAAAGTTACTTATGACTTTTTTGTTTATTAACTGATTAACTGTGTACGTTTATTATAACAATATTACATTGCGTGCGTGCGTGCGTGTACACGTACACAGAATACAAACATGTACATATTATTATTTTTTATAAGTACTGAACCGAGAACGCACGCCACACTCGAGATTTCATCGATTTTTGTCACAAACGACCTGGTGACCTGTGACGTCACACAATATACCCCTTGGCTAATTACAAACTGGCTTATATTCAGAATCAACCAGTGGCAAATTTATCAAATAATTAAGCCATCATTTTAAAATTATAACCTTTTTTTTACATCAAAATTTATTTGTCCTCTGAAATGTGTAAACATGATTATTGCTAAACATTTTTATTATATCCATGTTAATTTTCTCTCAAACTGGTTTGCGTTACGGTTAATAAGTAATATATACATTACAACTCTATTTTCAGGACCAACTGAGTGTAGTGTGTTCCTTCAGGAAGCACAATTGGAGCTCCCGCAGTGGCGGAATATTCAGATGCTACCAGTGGTAATTTTATCAGATAATCATCCTCAAAAATATTTTATTTTATTGGTTAACCTAACTTCAGTATTGTCACATAACAAAGAAACAAGTGTTGCAGAGTGACAGCGCTCAACTGACGTGTACTGTAGCCAAGTATTCTTCTGATAAACTCACTGGCAACCGAATCAAGTGCGCCCTCCTGTCACCGCGTTGATAGGCTTTGTTATACCGGTAGTACAGTAATAAAGATATAGCTGTGTAACTTTAATGACTTCGATATATTAATGTTATCATGGATATGCATCGAGCGCGAGCATAGTAGTGGTGGTGGGAGGAGGGTGGGGTTGGAGAGTGGGGAGAGGGTAGGGTGAGGGGCGAGTAGAAGGGGCTTTAATAGCAAAAGCAGTTCAGTCATTTGTTAACAGTCAACAAATTCATGTTTAACCCTCCTCTTGAGGGTCAAACGGTTATCAGACACTTAACCCTTTGAACCCTGGAAGCCGATATTTCGGCTTGCGCACATAATACAATAACCCGAGATGCCGATATTTTGGCTTGCATGTGTCGTGCTGTTTGTTTGGCTAGCTATTCACTGTATGCAGCAAATCAGTGTTATGTTTACATATTAGTGCGGTTTCCTTCCGGATTGAGATTTCAGGGCAAATTTCGGCAAATTCAGAGCGTTTTTTTATCGTTTTTTGTATCAAAAAGGAGCAAAATAATGAAACAAAGGTTTACACCTGATTAAGTAGTTGTGCTGCTTGATTTGTCAGACTCGGATGGGGATATTGGCGCACAGCAATATGATAACAGCGATGATTTTCAGTCAGAAAGTGACTCAGATAGCGTGAAAAATACTAATCCTACTACTACTACTAGTAATAACAGTCTTTCTGCAACTTCTTCGCATTCGGATATGTCAGATGGTGAAGGCAATGACAATTTGGCGGCTGGGGTAGATGAT